TCGTATAATAAATTGCTTTCTAGTCTAATTGAAAATTGTATATAGATAATCCCAATTTGTAAGATCAACCTTTCTTAACATTTATATTTGTTATTGCTAATATAATTGATTACTACTTTTTCACTATGTTTCCATGAGTTCGTATAAAAATTTCGCAAATGTAATGTATTAAAATTTATTCAACATTTTATTAGTAAATATCGTTGAACATCGAAAGACACTTTTAAGAGAAAAACGTATACATGACGCGACTCTAATACAAAAAGTCATTTCCATAGATAACAACATATGAAATTGTACATGATAAAATTCGTAATCGCAATATTACCATATTATTTATCAAAATTGATTCATTAAAAATTTTTATTCAAATTAAATGATATTAAAATAATCATGGTAATTCAACATGTTATAATTATTGCTCTAGTTGTAATAATTTGTAAGTTAGAAATAAAATTTATATATATATATATCCACATACACGTGCAGTGCGTGGAAAAAATAAAATAATAATAATAATACAACGTGCTACGAAGCTTATACATTGCAATTATTTCATTCTCCGTAAACCAAAAAAATGGAATGCATTCGTCAGACTTAATTTTGTTGTACATCAAGTAACATGAAAGTAGTCGTGCTAAGTATTAGGTTGTCCGAAAAGTATCTTCCTTTTACAGACACGTCTTTTACAACGACGCATCTTTATACAAACATAAAACCTAATCTGTCGAACGTTGTAATCTTTATCCTGATAGAACAAAATAAATCATACGTAATTCGATAAAATAATTGTTGAGAATTTTGGATCTTAATAGCCGAAATAATGATATAGGGACGCTAAATTTACACTTAGAATTTATATTAGAATAGTTATATATTTATTTGATAAACGATTTCAAAGATATTCATCGATACACACTTGCACGCGTCTCACCTTCTTCCATACCAGACTGTTAGCCGACTGAACAGTTTACATTCCTTTGTTTTCGAGACGCCGCGCATACACATACACACACACACTGATATTCACATACACGTATCACTACTACGCGGTCAATCTAGTCTAGCACATAAAATTATACATATTTCAATAATAATATAAAACCGAAAATGTGCATCTATTATTTCCTTCTAAAACGAAAGAAACTTTTCATACGACCTAATATAATATCGCGAGTTTACTTACAAATTAAATAACATTAAAATCAAATCTACATCGCAATGATTCTCAGTGAAGGAATATTCCTCTCGCCTAAACCTACCTGCCCAAATCATTTAAATACTATTTTCTCACAGAATTCAAGTCTGCCGTTTCTCGGTAAAACGTTCGTCCTAAAAACCGCTTTACAAAGATAAAACCAATCGTCCAGAAGCTGAATCCGCGTTTGCGTTGCGTGCAGACAGCCGTGGAATTCGAACAGCAAATCGCTGTTAGGCCCGTCCGATTCCCCTTACCGATCGTCACGAGAAGTCGTATTAATTAGAGAGTCGTGCCGTCCTCCTTACATAATTCACGACGTGGCCATCGAGATCCGAGCTTTTGCATAACCCGCACCACCATCTTTCCCCGGGGTGTTCGACCGACACGACTTCGCGAACCCAGAGACTGTTTTTCGCACGCATATACTCACGCACGGCCACCACACGCGATCCTTTGCACGCGATACTCGTGTTCGTTCGATCGACTTCGAAGACCGTGTTTTGCTCCTCTCCTCCCTCTCTCTCTGTCTCTCACCTCGTGGAATTGATCCTGGTTTATGATTGAAACATTGGATTCGAGGATAGGTTCGGGTGATCGAAAGCGATCGATAGATGGAATATACAGTTAGAGAGAAAAATAAATGTACAGGTAGTGGAAATAGGTATCGATAAAATTTTGTTAAGTATATATAGGGGCGTTTAACAAACCTTCATTTGGATTAGCCATTTTTTCCTTTATACAATATAGATGATAGTTAATGGTACCAATATGATTATTACAGAATCAAGTTCACTAGCAATAAACAAATAAGCTGTCGCTAAAGGCTTGTGTTAAAATAACAATGATTACTTAGTCACTAAATGAATATAATAATAAATTCACAAGGTGATTATATGACTATTACAGAATTTGACAATTACAAGGTGATTATATGACTATTACAAATTCACAAGGTGATTATATGACTATTACAGAATTTGACAATTAACCGTGACGATTAGATGCTAATGACAATGATCTTAGGTTCAATAAGGTATACACGGTCAAGAGAATAGCAAAAGGCGCTTCCTTACTTGTCGAAAGTCCAAGTGGAACTGCACTCGCGTACTTTTCTATGTATCTCTTTGTAGCCCTTTGGTCAACTATATTTTTAAGGAGAGCTATACAACTAGGACACTACCCGCTAGACCTAAACGCTAGATTCATTTAGTTATTCAAATTAAGCGTATGCACTTACTTATAATACTTATAAATTATACTTATCTATAATAAGTATTAACTTATTCTAAATAAACAGCCATGTCACTGCGCCGCGCCAGAAAAATTACTGAAAATTCTCAACGCGAGAATTGATTGTAATTTCAACAAATAAATAAAAAAGAAAAAAAAAACTAGGTCATACCTCTTTTGGGCAGAAACGTCCATCCCGTGATCGTGGCTATGTTTAGCGACCAGATGTGTCACTTCGAGCCCAAGCCTACTGTCGTAAATTTCGGGCGAACATAATCGGATTAAATCATAAACACCTACTTCTAAGTTTCCTTATTTAAGTACCGCTATAATAAAAAGTCTAGATTAAAGTATTGAGAATTTTTTCAAAAATTCCAAAGGAAAGGCCCCGATGTTCTTTCATCTCCGACATATATATGTGTGTGTGTGTGTGTGTGGTTTGTTTACGCAAAAATGTGGATATTAATTTCGGTTATTTAATAAATAATTTATGTACTGTGAGGATATTCGATAAATGAAGCTTAAGTATATAGAAGTATTAGTTCGATTGAACTCCATCCAAAGCTAAAAGTTAGCGAGTTGATTGGTATATGATATTTTTTTATTTTTTAAGAACGTAATGGTCGAGTAAATATATTTGATGAATATATTTCAGGTGTAACGATGTTTGTGTTAATAAAAAAGTGAATTTTGATTTGAATTAAATTGAAAATGTTAGATTAAATAGAAAAATACCGTAGTCACTGTAAATTACAAATTACAGGTATCTTGGTATAAAAAATGTGAAGGTGGAATTGGTGCTGCTGTACGATCGAAACGTTCGATTCGAGAATTGCATCGGCTAATCGGAAAGGTTTTCCAATAAAGCATTTAAAGGATTTATCGATAGGTAAATTGCAATATAAATCGAAGCTTTATAAAATAGAAACTTTTCATATTCTCGCGCAATTAAACTAGTATTATTAGTAAAACTTTGCAAGTCACAAATTATAAATTATTTATATCAACAAATTGTCTTGTATAACAGCAACAAATTCCTTGATACATCAAATGAAATGTTACAAATTACCAATCATCCTTACAAAATTATAAAACCATCAAAGAGAAGTCTATAACTTACGATCCGCAATTTGTCAATTCGCTAACATTATTAGTTGCTAAATTATTGTGCAAAAAGATCGACATACTCGTGTTCGTTCGATCGGCATCAAAGACCATGTTCGTGTTGTCTTTCTATGGAATGGTCTTGATGCAAGATTGAAACGTTCGATCCGAGGATGGCTTCAGGTAATCGGGAACGGTGTCGAGGAACGAGGATGATGATGGAGAGATCCGCTAGTCCGATCGAAAAAAAGACAACGTCCCGTGCGTGATTAAGGATCGTCGGGATTCTCGAGACCGCGATTGGGAGTTTGGCGACGGTTTTTTAGTCAAGTACATGCTCGGGATTGATGACGGTGATAGCGAAGTAATGAAACGTATGTGCCTGGCTTTGATAATGGTAATGGTCGGGTAATGAAACGTATGCGCCGGGGCTTGATAATTGTGATGCTGGGGCAATGAAATATATGGCGGATGGAAATCTGGAATTATGGAAAATTGTGATATTACCGGTCGAACTGTGTAATCTTCGTACGGTGGTATTGCGTTTCGATGATCGAGTTGAGACTGGATTTAAGGGTCGAAACTTTGTTGCAAAGTCATGCGCAACGTTCGTACGATGCTATTATGATCCAACGAGTGGAAGTGATATTGGTATTTAGGCATTGCAAATTTGACAGAGTAATGAAAATTGGTGTCAAAATGGCGTTGCGATTCGATGAATCGAGCTGATATTGATAATTAAGGATTGCAACTTTGCTGTAAAGATAGCTGTATAACGATCGTACGTTGATATTATGATTCGATGAATTCACGTAATTGGTATTTGAGGACGAGCTGATCGTATAATGAAAATTTCGTACGTTGGTGTTATGATTCGGTAAACCGAGTCGATATTGGTATTTAAGGACCGCAAATTTCACGCTGTAATGGAAACTTCGAATTTGGAAATTTGGAAAGATAATATTACACTGCGGGAATTTCAGTATTTTCTTGCTGCCACGTATGATCTTAGTATCTTTAGCGTAGCGTTATGCACGTTATGCTGATCGAGGGAGCGGCGTTATTACACCGGAAGTGATGGAGTCATAGCATCTGCTGTTAATGATTCTCATTGGTCATGGGACTCGAGATTGATGCGTTCGTGGTTCTGATATATTGCCGGCACTTAATAGTCGTAAATTTTAATAGCGTTAACTCGGCGTCGAAAGACCAAAGATTATGGTAGGTTAATATCAACATTTTGGGCTAATGGAAGTTAAGCGTTATGGTAAATAATCGATCGGTTTTAAGCAGATTATCGGTCGTTAGAATGGCATGCTATAACAAATGTTAAACAGATTCGTATGATACGTATGTCAGCTTGTAACATATATTTCTATATTTGATTTTAAAACAGCATGAATTTATATTACAAACTAATATAATAATTTATATTTACACCCTTTCATTTTCTCCCTTCTCTGACCTCCCTTGTCTTCCTTTTTTTATTGCTTCATCATCCCTTTCATTTTTTCCTCTCCAGATTCTACCTTTCTTTCTTTTTCCGTATCTTTCTTCGATTTTTTTCCTTCCCTTTACACCCTTTCTTTCGTATTCATCCTTCTTTTCCCTCTTTCCCTCTCTCGTTCCTTTACAGAAAACTTGAGCTAAGTCTTCGATTCTTTCTTTTTTTTTATACCTTCGATTATAATCTAAACCTGCGACGTATAATTGGCCACTAAATCTGTAATCGTGTACAAACATTTAAATATAACTCACGACATTATCAACGCCTATCGTCGCTCTTGGAACAGAGGCGGTGTGAAAAAACTCGGCGAAAAAATCTCACCATCAACCAACTGAAACACGAGAATAAAGAGTTCAAGTTCGCATTAACACTTCCTCCTTACCAGCGATAACAACATTCCTTTTTACTCCAAAAGCCGACAGGTGAGTCGAGGGTAATTCATCAAGCTGTTAATTCGCGCGTCCGACCGGTAACATCGAAGCATCTTAAATAATCCCGTGAAGCAATTCGAGGGATTAATCTTAATTCCATCGTGAAGGCTTGGCAGACGGAAGCACGAAACACCCTCCCATTCGTGGCACGTAAACCGGCCCGCATTATCGAAGAACAAGCAACCCTCTCGGGATATCTGCGATCGGCCTTCGACTTCGCTTCACCGTCTCTTTCGTTCCTCCACTGGTCTCGTGAGTTGCGGTGTAATCAACGTCAACGGGGACGTTTCACTCGAAACTGGCTGCGTGGCGGCCGCGGCCAGACGAGCGAAATAATTATCGGTAATTTCTGCCAGATAAATCACCCCGTCGAGTCGCGATCCAAGATACGAGGAGCCGTTGCTGGTGTCGGTAAACAGTCGCGCGATTAAAAGGCGTCGCGTATTTCTGTGTGAGACTTTTAATTCTTATTCAGTGGTTATAGGTTTCATTCGTACTCGGTGCATTGTTTATCTCAACGAAACTTTTGCGAACGTTCGATTACAATCGTTAAATTGTGACATTTTATGCTACCGTATACGTAGAATGAGTACGATATGGAAAAATATATAAAATATTCAAAGGCGAGTATTTGATATGGTATTTAATAAATTATCAAACGTTTCGAATTGGTAACGCTATGCGCGTGTACATATGTGGCGGGAACATGTGCTAAGTGGCTAATCGATTATCCAATTAATCAATCAAATCAATTTCAATTAGGTCAACTTTAATCCTTGAAACGACATGTAAGTGAAAAGATAAGGAATCTTAAACCACGTCATTGATCGACCAAGGACTCGTACAATCACCAAAAGTAAAAGTTAATAAAGACAAATGAATTTCAAGTAGGTTGGTTTTAATCCTTGGAAATATGACTACGATACAATTTATTTTGAACAGAAATGAAATGAGACGTATACAAGATATCTGATAAAGAAATTACTGTATCCAAGATATTGGCAATTCAATTGACAAGTTAATACGTTCTTCCCCATTAACAGATTAGATTATGTGGCAATCTATATAAACGGCGAATTAACGCGTCTTTTGCCCAGGTTAAACCTGTTAAAAAGTAAAATTTCTCTATGGGCCCGTTTCAGCTTGCGAGTAAAACCGTGCAACGTTTCGAGGGTGAATTAACGCTAAAATTTATGGTTGTGCATGCACGCGTTTCCTGAAGGGGAAAGGAGGCGCGATGGGTGTTCGTGCGACGAACGCCTACATCGTGCACACGTTCTCGGCGAGGACGTTGCGCACGAGCACGTATTGTCTGTCACCCCGCATAGCCGAGATAATCGATGAATGATTATCCAATCGCGGCTAATGCGGAAACTATCCGTTTAATTACGTTTAGTGCCTCGAACCGAGGAGGCTCCGAGGTGAGCGCTGCTGGAGGCCGAACGACAGGCTCGATACCAACCTATGCGAGAGCAACTGACAACGAGTATGTGCATATTAGTTCACGCGTGTACGATACTGTGAACGTTAGCGCTCTTACACACCTATAACTGGTTCTGATATATCTTGATTCACGTATAACGGATACTGATGTACGTAGCTACATGTACCGCATGTAAAAGCGTTCATACGGCAATTTTCGAGTGATAGACTACCGCGACACTGACTTTGTGTACCGAGCGAGTTTCATTTTTTCTGTCGAAGATGACAGGCGAAACATAACGACGTAATGGCTCGTCCAGACATATAGAGCGATTTGATTTTTTTGTCACGTGGATAGCATTCAAATTTAGCGTGATCGAACGTGCAACGTACCAGAGACGAGATAGGAGTGAGAATAGAAAAAGAAAACAAAATGAGTGTAAGAACGAAGCGAGAGAGTACGAGGTGTAAAGACGGCTACACATGGGAATAGACAGCAGTTCGGTTTGGCGAATGACGAGAGAAGTATCGTATAATCGAACAAATATATATAGTATAGTCGTGCGTGTTAGAGGAATTAGGTTGTCCAGAAAGTGTCTTGCTTTCACAAACGTGTTTTTTACAACAATACACCTTCGTACAAACGTGAAAGCAAGTCTGTCGCGGTGTTTATCTCAACAGAACAAAATGGATCGTAATTCGACAAAATAATATAAAACAAAAAACGTTATGCGTTTATTATTTCCTCATAAAACGAAAGAAACTTTCCAGACAACTTGATACATATATTCATAGACGCGAAAAAAGACTAACAAGGTCGAGTTTTCTTCTTTAATCAGAGAGAATAAATTTGTCCAACATTATTACTTGATAAATTATCGTGCAACAGTGTTGTATCTCGACATCCGCGCAATCTTAGCCTTTAGGATATGAAAGAAGCCCGTACACCAGGAGATTTATAGCAACGCAGAATTTCGAATTCGTCAATTTGCTAATATTATTACTTGGTAAATTGAAAACTATTCAGCAAGATGGTTCTAGGTCGCGTATCCCACACACGTACTTATCTCGACACCCGTTATCTTTGTGTGGAAGTAGCCTTAGCTAAAGCCTTAGAGTGTTAAGGTTGTACGTGTATCAGTTCACGAGTCCACAGATAGACAGATAGACAGTCGAGGGGAGAAACCGGTGGTGGCAAACAACGACGGAAGCTCGAGGGGTCCACGCTGGCTTTGCAAACGGAGAAACGAGGCGGACGACGAGGAACAGAGCACGGCAGGGAGGAAATAGAGACGGTCACGGACAAAGGGCGGGTGTGGGTGGCAGGGTAGTTTCGAAAGAGGGTTGGCTAGCTCGTAGCCGGAATTGAGCCGCGACCGCTTAACTGACGTAATCAAGTGTTGGACAGTGACGCTCAAACCCTGTCGAGTTTGTCTTTTAGCCGATAGGTCGTCGATTCTACTTGGTTGTTGTTGTGGTGGTTGTATACAGTCCTGCGTTACGTGTAATCTTCGGATTGGTCGTGCGTGAAATCGGCGAACTAGCTCGGGGTGATCGCGCGAGAGATGGAAAGAGGATTTTTTGAATGCGAAGAGGGTCGAACGTGTTCAATGGATTGCTGTGATTGTAATTGACCTGGCACATTGTATTTCCAGGCGAGCGACTACGGTTGAATGGAAACGTTTGTTCCTTCGTTTTTAAGACGGTTCCACTTCGATCGAAGTGGAAACTCGAGAAATATGGCGTTAGAAACACGCGATGTATATGTAAAATTCTCGGTAGTTGCGTTAATTTTCCTCCAATTCGTGATTTTTAACAGCTAACGTGTACTCTAATGTGTAATACTAGATATATAATTAATTTATCATTAATACGGCATAGTGTTAATACAATGGGAATATATAGTCATATTTCGATCTCAGGTTGTTGATAAATAATAAATGAAAAATTAATCGATAAAAGTAACATATATGGTTAACGAGAAATCCAGTATCCTGATAGAAAAAATGAAAACGCGCTATTCAGCATGAAATAAAAATATTTTAGTTATTCTAAATTCCAAGTTTCGGATGACATCGCATAAAAACTGTAGAACTTCAATTACGTGATATACCGATAGTAATCAGATTGCGCGTATATCCATGTGCAACTATGAATTATTTACGCGGAATAAACTCGAGAAATATTTGTATCGCAATTCGTGTGATCAGATAGGCGAGACGAAAGTTTAAACATCGATAAAAGCCTGACTCACGTTGCTGTTTCGCGAACGACATTAGATCTATGGTATTGCCAGTATAACCGCTGACCTTTGAGAATTCACTGGCTGAATTCAATCTTGTCTTTCGACGTTATTACACGTAGAAAATGCGACGAAACCACGTGAAACGCGTTGACGCGGCCACACGGCGTAAAACAGTCTGTTAAAGAACTGGTGCATAATTACGCGGTTGTCTGCGATTCGGAAACTCGCCGGCTTTATTAATGAAAAAAACGTAGTAATTAATGGGGTTTCATTATGCGATAATTGGCCGTATTTTTGTGGCGTGCTAATTGCCATGCACGGACGATAATAATAGCGAACAATAACAATAATCGTAACGACCGCAATATCCTTTCCAATTATACACGCAAAGATCCGCTAGCCCAGCAATATCGTAAGAAACCCATTAAAATTATCCACCTCATTATATCCGCGGTTTCAAACGAATCGTTGTTCGATATTTTCTGTTTTTCTAATTTTATCTGAACGACGATTGTAAATGTTACGAGCAATTAAGCATATAAATCGAAATTGAAACAATGGTGCATCCATTAGGTAGATCGAGCGAACGACAACGTTGTAAGTGTAAAATAGTACAATTTTGAGAGTTGAATATAAAGAAAGAGTCCTGTCAATTTATTCCAATTACACCTTTCCCATCGAAAGGAAGACTGGATGTCCGTCTTACGCGTCAACTCGCAAGTTACGATCCTACTGAAAGAGAATTAAAAAAGTGAAAGAGAATCGTCGAAAAAGGAAAAGAGCGACGCGAAAGCGGATCTCGTTAATTTCACGTTCTCGAACGTTTTCGAAAACGTTCAAAGCAGGTATTGAAAGCAACGAAAAAGGAAACTCAATTTACAGCATCGTTAGCATCCAAAGAAATATGCTCGCGTTACACAACAATCTACAGGCTGCAATACTGTTAAAGAGAAGAGGAAAAAGAAAATAAATACCGCAGAGGGTAAGAGGAAATCTCGTTAATTTCACCTGCTCGAAACATCGGCACGGCCAGATCGGCTGGTTCGACCGCAAACGGCATTAATTTCGCGCGCCACCGCAAAATGCTTTTACTCGGCGGATCAGGGTCTGCCCTAAAATAGCCGATTCTTACGCAACAGCCGGCTTATTCCGGTAATTCCGCGCGATCGTATCGGAAGCGGCTCTTACGTTGGCGGCCGCGTGAAAGTCGATAGACGTGCAACAACGAATCGACAAGGTAATTAACGAGATTGCATGCGGACCAGCTCCGTCCATCGAATAACGTGTACGCGATCGTTGTTCGTATGTGTACTATCGATGTTCGCGTGTTGTGGCTGGGTTTGCTTCTGTTTATATACATTTGTACGCCTTCTATGTATATGTACATAGGGTTTGGCACGTGTATATAGGGACGAACGAGCCGCGATCCGTTACGTGGACGTCGAGACCTGGGGTCGGGGGTGCATGGATTAGCAGTTATTAATTAAGCTTAATTGTTTCTGTTGGGTCGACGCCGGCCGGGTTTACAAGGTGTATGCGTGTCTACCATTGCCGACAACGTGCCGAGGAACACGTGCGTCCGTGGACAGGCTGTCTGCCACGCCACGTGGACCGCTATTATGGTGTACGTGGCGTTGTTGCGTCCTGCGTTCCATCGCGCGCGTGTTCAGAAGGTGTATCGACGCCCACGCGGCCTCCACACACGCGTCCCCCCGTGAACCTCTCTACGGTCACTCGATCGCCGCCACGCTCTCACGCACATGCCCACGATTATTCGATGCCCTGGCGGCGTCGCACCACATACGAGCAGACGTGTTCATTTTCGCCTGACGAACGTTGTTCATCGATGCTCGCTCAAGAGAATCGATTCGCTGATCGCCCATTGACTACTGCATTGTTTTCAGCTTAGAAGAGAAATGGCTTGGTCAAGGATGATCGTTTTCAGTGTTCGTTGAAGGAATTTTCAATTTTTTTTTTTTTTTTTTGTAGCAGTTGTACGTGAAGATTATAAGCGGATAATGTATAAGTCGGATTTTTTCTTCCTTTTAAGAGGAAATTAATTTTTTAATTCGATACATTGTATGAATCATATTATAAATATATTAAACATCGATTATTCGCTATTAAACTATCCTTCTTTTAGCCATCTTTTAATAATCAACAAGTATGAAGTTAGTCTGTTTTCGTATGGAGTCAGTACGTAGAATAGACAACGTAATACTTATTTGACCATCTATAACCATAAGGATTTTGCTCACGTTGTAGAGAACAAAATTTTAATTCAATCTGTAATTTAGAAAGTAGCAATTGCTGTAAAAGTAGATTTACTTTGACGCCTAAACCTGAAGTTTGAGAAATAAAAATAACCAGACGTGGATGCAGTTGATTTGCAAATGTAAGATAAACTCTATTACGAAACATTTAGTTTCCTTCTTGAACCACTCGGTTGTCCGTTAATTTATTTCAACCTCATCGTCGGTATACTAAGATCGTAACACGATAGAAAAAGGTAGCTTTTAAAGGTCTAAGTGGCAACTTCGTACATTATTATAAGAACGATTAAGAAGAAATTAGCTACTTTCGTAATTCACCAGCAGTCATTCACCGAGCTCTTTGAAACGCGCGCCAACGAGACCTTTATCGCTATTCCAAGGGGCTGACGACCGTTTAGCATCACAAATGGCATTCTTCGTGCGTGAAGCCGCGCGTCGCGTGCAGATTATGGTTCATAGGAAAAGCAAAAGAGGCTGTGTTGAACGTGGTTCGGAGATCGAGTCAAAAGATAGGAATTTTTAGGGTGAGGCTGAAGAAAGCACGGCTGTACGCCACGAAACGGAAAGAGAACGGTTCATTACCGTTATAATACGGACGTTCGCGAGTCGTAAAGTTAGCCGACGCGTATTCTAATCGCGTGTAGTCCCTGCGTGGCGTATATCGCGACCTTTTACATTCGAAAAGCTACGAAACATCCGGTACAACGGAGTAAATCGTTCGAGTAATAAGATGGTTATCGCGGTAGTTGTAACCGACTATTTAGCGAGAGTCTGGCTGAATATTATTACCGTTACATACGGAAAAACAGACAAAACAAAAGTGAGGGAAGGCGGTAAAAGGCGACGCTCATGATCGCGTAATAGCTCGTGCATTCAACGTGTGTACACGTTCGTTCATAAGTATTACGACATTGGCGGGAAATGAAGTAAGCTGGTGAGATCATTACGAGGTTATTACAACCTTTAATTTGAAATTTGAGACGATGATAGCACATATTTTCAATATTATAACGACGGTCGCATGACATTCTAGTTAACGCTTAATTCAATGAACTTTTGCCGATTAGATTTCACTTAGACAGTTGAATGCCAACTTCTATTGTGCGAGCGAAAAAATTATAAATAGCAATCAATGAACTTTTACGATCGATGAACTATTATAAAGAATTGTTGGAAATATGAACTTGAAGTATACATGGATCGTTCAGAAGGCACCATAGCGATGAATTACGTGAATTGAAAAATAGGAACAAACGACTTTTCGATATATCTTGGAATAAATTTATGGAATTAAGATATCGCTTTTTTAAAAGCTTGAATATCAGTCGTCTACTCAGGGCTATTTGCATGGTTAAATACCGATATTATCGGTGATACGTTCAATTTACAAGTCACACGTAGCAAGTTTAATAATACAATAAACGAACTGTTGCAACTAAATCTTACAAATTACAATTATACATCGCTAACGAAATTCTACAACCTGCAATTTATAAATCATTAACAACATTAACCGTATGATTGATATCATTAATTAATAAATCATTATCCATGGGGGTGCAAATGCTGCAATTATGAAATTTATTAGAACGAAATTCGTTGATATGGTTTCCGAGAGGCTCGTATAAAACTATTTATCTCACGATAGCTTCGTATAAATGAGCTTCAACTATACCAAAATTCTGGCGTTTTAATCCTCTTCGTTATAATCTGCGTCGATTATCAGATTTTACACGCGAATACAGCAAGTGTCCTAATTTCTAATACTTCTGAAGAGGATTGTACACGCGTGGCGTTCACGTAACGCGGCGCGTTTCATTGAAATTCTTCGCTTCTCAGCTTTCGTGATAATGATATTCGCGGCGCGCGAATTATGCAACGATATTCCAGCGGAAGATTGCGGTGTCGATAAACGCGACGCAACGGGTGAGGCAACGCTTAACCGAGGCGAGCCTTGAAAAAGAAACTCGAAAAGGAAAAACGAACATCGCCGTTGGCTAACAACCCTTCCCACCGCCATGTGCAAGAAGTTTATACTGTTTTAATGGCGCGAATTACCGTGCCGCTGAAACCACTGGTTTCGTTTAGCGGAAAATAAGAATCCTACCGGGGGAAATTGCCGAACGTTTTAATTATTTCAGGCTGCGCGTTTTAACCACCTCGTCGAGCTATTACGGAAGCTTACTATGTCATCGTGGAAAGAAACTGTAGTTTTTACGAAGCCAAGCAGTTTATCAGGTAACCGGTAGCGCATGCAACGTGTTCAAGTCTGTAATTACGTGAATTTTTCTTGAGTGAGCGATAGTCAAATTAATTCTCGAGTGTCTCCACATGTCGATTAGGAGAGAAAAGGTTATGTTTAGCACTGCAAAAAATAGAATATACAATCAATCATCGGTGTGTACTCAGCGATCGATTTTTAGCGACATTTTTTTTAATATGTTGATTAATGGTCAATTCGACGTTTCTTGCTTAATATCGATGTACAGTCACTGAAACAACTGTACACGCATACAGTAAACTAACGACAAGCAATGGAAAATCAGCGTATACTAATAAAAGCAAAATATACGTATGCACCGAATATTAAAAGTTTCTGGCCAAAGTATAATTTTAATATTAACAATAATAACGTTAATAATATCATCAGTATAGCAAATCGTTTGGAGGAAGGACATATCGCGTTGCGTCGTTTACGTCAGAATTTTTGTAACAAGAATTTCATAAATATATGAAATAGAATTATACTTTTCCCAAGAAGCTCTAATAAGTAAGTACATCGAGAGTTACGGTTTCATTGAATTCGATTATTCCACGAAGCGTATTTCTCTCGCATGCTTCTCAGTCTGCAATCCTGCAAAAACCTTCATATAAGAACTAAACGCAAAGTAACGCTAGCAGAGGGTAATATTAAAAACCAAAATAAAAAGCCTGCGAAACTCGTTTTAACTTGTCGACCAAGCAATCACCTGCCTATTCAATGAGGTTTCCCACATCGTGATAACGAGACCCAAGATGTAACGCGGAATATCTGTCGGATCGTCTGATATTCTCCAAAGAAAAACGATGACCTGGTCAGATTGTTCTTCAGAAGAAGAAACACAGAATACAGAGTATCGTCGAAAGAACGATAGAAAGAGTTTGAGAGAGTTGTCCCAATGGTCATCGGCGTTGTCGTCGTGGTTTGGCTGGCCGGACGATTCTCAAGGAAGTCTCGAGTGGATATATCACTCGGATATAAATGGACTCGAGTGGACACCGTGCTACGCGTTTCTTTTTCCTGGTCGAGGCGTTTCTACACTCCACCTAACTATACGGAATTATCTTCTCTTTTTAAACGTGTGCATCCGTGTGTGATACGCGCGAAACATGCAATCCTGGCTGACGTATATGCGTGTATCTGTGTAGAGACGAAAAACACACGACACATACAGAGATGTGGAAAGTGTGCGGCCGTGTGTGTCTCGTTTCCCTTCTCCCTGTGCATACAGCAACCCCCTATCAAGCCCATCGGTCACGGGTATTGAAATAAACAAACAAGCATCGGGAGCAATATCCCGCTCGGTCAATATTTACCTGACGGTTAGTCGACTAGAGTTGCCCGCCAG